TGAGCACATGATGGATAACTATCCTTAAAACCGCTATGACGATCCAGCTGCTATTTGCAGTCAGAACAACATTACCAGCAGCAACAACGACACAGTCAAGTTACCTCAGAGCTTCAAGCAACGAAACAAACGACGACTACGAAAGTTACCGCCCCAAAAATACCATGGCTCGGAGTGGGCTGAAGCCTCCTCATGGGAGGTGGTAAGGTTCTATTCAATTCAGTGCACCTCGCAACTCCACAGCGCGAACAGAAACCTTGTGGTAACATCTTCGACCGATCGCTCCTTCACGAAGATAATATATTTCCTTAGAAAAGAGTTTTTAAAGGAAAATTCGAGATGCCGTCTACCGCACTGACCTACACCAAGTCTTCGTACAGGAGCGGCAACAATCCTGCCGAAGTGACGACTTCTCAGACTTTCGTCGCTCACAACACTGCACTTGAGGTAAATTCATAACTTATAATAAAGAAACCATTATTACATTTATTTTATTTCAAGCACTTATAAGTATTTATGGATTAATTTAAAGTGTAAACTCCTCTTACGGTTATGACCGCGCAATTTTTCAAGGTCTTCGCATACATGAAGTAAAGTTTATTAATTTCATGTTATTTAATAATAAATTATGTAATATGAGGTATTTTATTTACTGGCGGCCAGTTCTAAAGTTCAACATATACCTACATAGAAGTGACGTTGATATGGTAGGAATTTCATCGTCACTGCAGATTTTCGTTCAGTTGTAAACGAGAATCGTTCAGTGCTTTTTCCAAGCATTGCCGAGGCCAAAATTAACATACTCGTTTAAAACAGCAAAAAAATTATCAAGGGCCTTTTTAGCGCATTTTCTCATTTATGGAAAAATGCCCCATTGTGCTCGTCATGTCCTTTCCGTCTGTCTGTCCGTCTGTGATTTCACGTTTTCGTCGACGAGAAAATGCGCTCTCTGTCACTCACTGCAGTGAGTACTGAGTTATATTTTTTCCTAGCATTTCCGAGCCTAAAATTGATATATAAAACAACAAAAAATTATCTAGAGCCTTTTATTGTGCATTAAATATGTTCTCGCCACGTATGGGTGCTCAGGTCTCACGATGGCCAATAAGTCGTCATCAGCGGCGCAATCGCCGACCGAGATGGGGTATTAACGAACAAATTTTATACGTTTTCTTTCTCGGCGAGATGAAAATGTCAACGGTTTCCTCTTGAAAGATCAAAACTAACTGAAATACAAAGACTTTTGTATGAACAGGTCTTCAAATTTCGGCAGACGGAAAGAAAGAAAAAAAAACTGGAAAAATGCTTGCCTTTTCTTCAACATATTATTGCATGTGTCAAATATAGTACCGATTCATGTATCAAATATAGATTTGTTGTCACATTCATATTGTGCGTGCATGAGTATTTTACAAGCAAAAGTCTATTACAAGAAGGATAGGTTTTATTTCATGAATGACTAATAAATAAGAAATATATCACATATAATTATCTATTCCTGATTTTCAAAAGGATATATAATAAAATTGAGTAAATAAATTAAACGGAGCCGCAAAGATATAAAAAAATATAACTCAGTACTCACTGCAGTGAGTGACAGCGCGCATTTTCTCGTCGACGAAAGTCACGGACAAACGGACGGATAGACGGAGGGACAGACAGACGGACATGACGGGCACAATAGCGCCTTTTTCCGTACATGAAAAAATGCGCTAAAAATGAGTGGAAAAGGCAAAAAAAGAACAATACTGAATCAATGCAGGCAAAGGACTCGATACACATGCAGAGGAAGAAGGGAAGTAACGGTGCCGGGTTATTTCGTGACTGAAAATACTGTGTTCTCATTGACCAAAAAAGCCACGACCATAGCCATGACCGTGATGGTCGTATAATGAAAGAGTGATGGCCGTGTGATGGTCGTGTGATGGTCGTGTGATGGCCGTGTGATGACCGTGTAATGGCCATGCAATGGTCGTGAGATGGCAGAGCGTAATGCAGCGGCCAACAGGTCTGCCGTTGTAGGCCAACATAAATGGCGTAAGAACGCAAGCACATTTTATGAGAAACATTGAAATTTAGGTTAAAATACGAGGTTATTATAGTTTTTTTACGGGAAAACAGTTTTACTGTATGCGCTATGTATCAACTTGTGTAGCGAGAAAAGCATGTAAATTGTAACAGCATGAGCAATATTCTTTGTAATGTTTAGAGATTCGCAAAAATTCCTGTCTTTAGGTGTTATTTCTGCGAAAACAAGAATTTAGTTTGAATTATTGAAATGATTTCTAAAGGATAGATTTAGATAAAAATTGAATTTTTATTGATTAAAAAAATTTTTCGATAAAAATTGAATTTTGTTGACAATATTGCTGATGCTGAGTTAAGGACTAAAATGTTTTGCAAGAGAAGCCCGAGTTATGAATTAAAACATGGTAGTCTCAATTTCTTTCGAAAAAACTTTCCGAAATTTTACAATAAAAATTTAGGATGGAAATGCAGTAATGAGTCATTATTAGGAAGTTATAATTACATATTATGGAAATGATTGTCATTGTTAAAATTACTTAATTTAATTTTATTCATATCTGTAACTTATTCATTGCGATATACGAAAAAGTTCAAGCTATTGGTAAAATTACACTACGATAAATTTTATAATACTGTCGACAAATATTGTACGACAGTTCAGCAAACGAGATCCATTTTGAATGTAATTGGAGGATCGCAATTTTGCGTAATCCGCGTAAAATCGTTAGTTCTCGTGCCGCAAGGAAATGTCAGTTTCATCGCAATCTACGGAGATGTGGATTGTTTATTCAGTTAGAATAACGTTGCTGGACTGTTGTATTAACTTGGATTTCTCAATGAGTGTTAAATGAAAGAAAATAATTAAAATATTTACTTCCATAAAGAGCGATGTTTTCGGTAGCCAGTCGTCAAAAATTGAGGACCCTTCATAACTTTATTATATATAATATAGGAGGGCGCTGTTGATTATGTAAGATTATATAGGAGGGCGCTTATTATAGGAGGGCGCTGTTAATTATGTAGGATTATATAGAGGGCGCTGTTGATTATTAGTGACGTTAAAGAATGGAGTAGCACGCGATATCAAACTTATTTGTGTAACTAGTAACAAGGCTTGTCATTGCGGGAGAATGGTTGCTTTTCAAATGATTGTAAGAGAGTACGGGATTATAGAATATTATGGTACTTGTTATGCGGTTGCCTTACAAATAGGTTTTTACTTCTATTGAGAAACGTAAAAAGCGTACTGATGAAATCGATATCTTTGCATAGTTTATTCGTATAAATTCACGTATGACGTTCAGGTTTCATTAACACTTTGGTGAATTGCTCATGAATGAAGTCAATCGTTTTTATAGCTCCATTAAAAATTTACTCATACACATATTAATAATATAGTATGACTATTTTTGCAAAAGAATTGTACAATTATCAATACAAATTCTTGGAATTTAAAGGGCATAAAATAAAACCGATGTATTGACGAACATCCAATATGTTCGTGTCCAGATAAAATTAAATTTCCTGCCGAATTCAAAACTGCCGTAAAAATTTCTAAAAATTCCAAATACGCTTAATGAGAAAAACACAATTTTTGCCAGCCTCAATCCCAAATTTCCCCACGCGTCAATGACCTTGAGCTTGTCGGGATGATTTAAATATCAGAAAAAAAATTAGAAAAAATATTCCTTAGGATATCTTTCATCTCTGTTGAGATCGATGAGGAGGAATGAGGGATGTCCACACTGAGGGGAGGAATGAGGGATGAGGAGGAATGAGGGTTGTCCACACTGAGGGGAGGAATGAGGGATGAGGAGAAATGAGGGATGTCCACACTGAGGGGAGGAATGAGGGAGAGGAGGAATGAGGGATGTCCACACTGAGGGGAGGAATGAGGGAGAGGAGGAATGAGGGATGTCCACACTCTGTCTCTTATACACATCTAGATGTGTATAAGAGACAGTGGCAGGTCAGCATGGCAGGTCAGCATGGCAGGTCAGTATGGCAGGTCAGCATGGCAGTAAATCAAATAAAAATTGTTTTAAAGTTCGAATTGTTTTAAAGAGAACAAAAGACTACGTCAACTGTTTTGGGAGTTATTTTTTAATTTATGCAATTTCCGGGATTTTTCGAACGGAAATTGCGTTATATTGTTTATGTGCCTAAATCGTGAGCTTTTATTTCTACTGATACTTTTTTTAAAACTGCATTACAAAGCCAACTACATTAGCACATCATCTGTCCATTTAATGTGCACCTAAAATCTGGCATGCAACGTACACTCATTCAATTTTAATTTATGCAAATAAGACGGAAGTAATATTCGAAGTGGAAAACTACCATAAAATTACCCATTATTAATTGTCAATAGTTTGTAATAAAAATTAAATCTATTAATTTAAAAGGAATAATCGCATAGAAATTGCAATTAAACGCCATTAGTGAGAATGTAATAAAGGAGGTCACATAAACGCGAGTAAATGAAAGAATGAGGCTACTGGCAATAAGAATAGTGTCCAAATTAGATAGTGGATTGATGCCAACTCATAATTTAGATTGATAATAAGCAAAAACGAACTGAGAATACTTAAATAAATAACAGAGTGCAGGAAATTACGAATAATACATGAATAAATAAACGAAAAGGAGTGCTAGTAGCGAATATTTGTTGATAGTAGACCTGAAATGCCATGGCCGAGCCGGAGCTTCAGTCTATTTATACCGAAGTCTGTGGGCAACCTGCTTAGCCCGCACGAAGAATAGAAACAGAACAAATTATGTATTCCCAATCAAATTACACATATCAGATAATAACAGTTTAACACAGTTCCCCAACAAATAAAATCAGCTTGAACTAATTGATGTAAGTAACAATTAAGAAATAGTTAGGTGCGTTGGCTGCGTGTAAGTAGTAATTTGAGCTGCAGACGAGAGAGGGTAGCAGGCTCCGAGTCATGGGTTCGAGGGGACCTCCATCTTTAGTTCTAGCGAGGTTGGTCTCTAGAGCTGTCACGACGGACACACCAACAGCCACCAACCGCCGCCGTTCCTGGACAAATCTGTTCTTGTAGGGACAATTTCACCCGCTGTTCTGGTACAAGATAAACCATTCAGGTGTCCATAAAAATAAATCCTTGTGCTGTGTTTTGGAAGGAAATAATTCATCTTCAGTGTTTGCTGGAAAAATTGTGCTTGTACTAGACTATCAAAAACGAATTTGACTAACCATGTCGTCCAGCAAGTCGGTGGTTAGCTCCAGAACCACAAAGATTGTGTCTTCTGGTGGCACCAGTAGCACAACGGTGGCATCCAGCTCTTCCAAGGTGGCAGCAGCTGCCGCCAGCAGCAGCAAGACGAGCACCAAGACCTACTCCTACAGGAGCGGCGGAGGGGCCAATGAGGACTCCAATGTGGTCATTGAGTACCACACTGACATGAGCAACCTGTCCAGACTCGAGGTAGGCACCACAATCTACCACTGACATGAGCAACCTGTCCAGTCTTGATTTAGGAATCACAATCTACCAGGCATTTCTTCAGCACTTTGTGACCTTATGATAAGGTTGGGACTTCTTAGTCCCCGGTCAATGTGATTCGTCGCCTTTGGCGCTGATGCGCCGAAGGCGGCGCTAGAAAACCATTGTCGCATTGACACCATGGCAAACCATTGTCGCATTGACACCATGGCAAACCATTGTAGGACACTGCACTGCCATGCACTGCCATGCACTGCCAGGACACTGCACTGACATGCACTGCCAGGACACTGCACTGCCATACACTGCCAGTACGCTCCATTTTATCTACAACCAGTATATTTATTACTCTAAGTCATGTTAAGAAACAAAAAATATAACTCAGTACTCACTGCAGTGAGTGACAAAGAGCGCATTTTCTCGTCGACGAAAACGTGAAGTCACGGACGAACAGGCAGACAGACGGACGGACATGGCGAGCACAATAGTGCATTTTTTCCATAAATGAGAAAATGCGCTATAAATGACAACACACTTCCAAATTACGATAGCAATCGATAAGCACAGAGTCTCCTACGACACACGGCTGCTGCTAGTGTATACTTCAAGGTTTTACAAATGATATCATTTTATTATTGACACGAGCCGAACATTCGCTGCTTCCAATTATTAGCTGCCATTATGTGTGTTACGTGCTGAAATAGCCAATACTTCAGAGAAGCTATTTGCTATCAATTAATTTATTTGGTATTTTCTGAGTCGCTGCCTGCACGTCCTAATCTCTGGTCCATGGCGCTCAAATACTTCTTTTAATTATGATTATGCAGACAAAGAACAATCATGATGCGCATCCTTTATCATCATAAAGCAGGCATCCTTCACACTTTAGTCCGACACGGTTCTATCTCCCTTCATCAACACTTATTACCCACAGTTCAATTAATACTTATATTTTAATCATAAAACACGAATCTTTAATACCATTATTTAATCTTCTTTACAATATCAAGTGACCTTCATATCACTGATCATTAGTGATGAGCGGTGGAATCATTCATTCATCCTTCTTAGAAATCATTCCGATCATCATTCTCAATCAATCATCAAACACGTCGTATTATTTATTCGCTAAACACTTAGTGTAATCCCTGCATTAAACATGTAATATCAGTTCTTCATCAGACGTGCAGTCATTTCTATATTAAACATGTAGTCATTTCCAATAAACAAAACTCTAATTAACAAAATTCCAATTAATAACCAAAAATTAATTAACGTTTCAAACACGTCGTCTTATACTTCTTCAAACACGCGGTCTGATCATTTATCCAGCAGTAGTTTGATCCTTTCATTAAACATTTAATCTGATATCATCAATCAAGTTGTCTAATCTTTTCATCAAACATTTGGTATTCTCTGTTTAGCAAACACGTTGTTTTTTTCCTTCGTCAAACATCTGGTATTATCCATTTATAAAAACCGTAATCTTATCCCATCATAAAGCCCGTGGTCAATCCTTCAACAAACTGGTGGTCTTAAATATCCCTTCATCAAGCACGTAGTCTTACCCATTTATCAAACACATTATTGTATTATTCATCCATCTAATACGAGGCAATTCATTAATTGAACATGAAGTAATTCATTATTCAAACACGAAGTAATTCATCAATAAAACACGCAGTAATTTATTCATCAAACACGAAGTAATTCATCAATAAAACACGAAGTAATTCATTAATCAAACACGAAGTAATTCATCAATAAAACACGAAGTAATTTATTCATCAAACACGAAGTAATTCATCAATAAAACACGAAGTAATTCATCAAACACCTGTCTCTTATACACATCTAGATGTGTATAAGAGACAGCTGAGGATGAGGAGGAATGAGGGATGTCCACACTGAGGGGAGGAATGAGGGATGATGAGGAATGAGGGTTGTCCACACTGAGGGGAGGAATGAGGGATGACAACAGCCATTTCCAGCCGCACTTATATTCCAGGAAGATTCTTCTGCCGTTCAATTAAAATAATTTTTCTTTGCTTATGCTGCTGCTGCTAAAAACTGCCTTTTTGGGTTGATTAAATCTCTAAATATATATGATGAAAATGACGATGTTAATCATGTACTAATTATTCAATTTTTAAATATGAATTCAATTTTTAAATATAAATTTAAGATAGAAATTGAAGTTCTCTAGTTATTTAATTTGGGGAATTTTGACTTGAAATAATTCGTGAACAAGAAAAAAATTTCCTATGGGATAAAAACCATTTACCTTTAAAAAAATAAACATTTTTATATGAGCTAGAATGAATTCCATGTGAGTTATTCAGAAAAAAATCGTGAATTTCTTGCGCAGCTGCTAATGAAGACTGCACCAATGCGAAGTAGGAAAGGAAAATTTGACAGAAATAGAGGCTAAATTTAATTTTTTATTATATGAATTTAACGGAAATTTAGACTAAAACTAAGATTTCTACGCAAATGAGAAACGTTGCACGAAGACACGACTTCCACTGAGCGATCCATTTCCCAATTAAAATTTGACAGGGATTCAGTCGAGAGAATTAATTACATCTTTTTTAGTTGCATTTAATACAATTAAGGTCTCCCTCAATATTCCTGCATTCTTCAAAAAATTCCAAGTGATGTTTAAGTTCGTAGAAAATGATGGGGAATAATGTAATTATTTATCTTATCAGTATAATCACGTCATTTATTCAGGTATTACCTATAAGTGGACTAATGACCCCATATGAAAGACCACAGTGCGTGATAAATATGATGTATCTTTATAAATAAATATTTATATAGAAATATTTATAGATAAATATGTATATATAAATATGTACGAAAAACGACCACTGAATGCATTATATTCCAATTTGCAGGGAATCGTTATGTACTTATGTACATAATGATTATGTATCAATATGAAAATGCATATTGATACATTCGAAACGTCGTTAAATATATTATAAATCCTTGCTGTGAGCTGCCTTTTGATCTGTTAACGTCATCTGACGAACTTTGATTACCTGCAAATTGGAATATAGTGCATTCTTTGGTCATTATTTGGAAGTGTTTCAATAAGAAAATTATGCCATCTAATGCTAATATAAATATGTATATATAAATAAATATAAAACGCTCAGGTTCCCCTGTGAGCGAAGCGACGTTCTTTACTGACGCGTGTAGCAGAAAACAGTGCAGTACAAACTCTGTTATGCAGGACGCTCTCAGTTGGTATACTGAACTGCCAATTAATATATTGAAACGGATAAAAATCAATGATTTATAGAGTATAGAATAGCAAAAATAATAACGATACATTTATAATCCGTATTAATAATAATCCGTGCTATTCTGTATATCAGTGATTTACAGCATATAGAATAGTTAATATTAATAATGCTAATAGCTGTATTAAATAGTATAATATGGCTATAAAAGTTACGCTGGGATTTGTTGATACATCAAATAAGAAAAAACATGTTTTTTTATCACTTTATTGACAAAAAAAATTAGCATTGACGTCAGGAAAATTGACATGAATTACATAATAACGGCTCATTAATTAAAGTAAATTAGTCATAACGGCTTACATGTTATTACCTTACATGTTATTAATATAATTACATTACGAAATAAAAACATCGAAACATTACATTACATAACGAAATAAAAATATTGTTGAAAAATCCTTCATGGACATCGACAGAACAAAGTAATCAACACTCACACTGATGATATGTATGGCATTCATGATACTTGAATTCAAGATTCCTGGCATTCATGATACTTGAATTCAAGATTCCTGGCATTCATGATACTTGTATTCATGATTCCTGGCATTCGTGATACCAGCAATTAGTTATCGCATTGGGAGTCCACGGATGATGCAAGCATGAAGTTATTTTTTATGATGCTCAGCTCTGACTTCAATTAATTAGCTGATGAATTTCCGAATAATAATTGTTGAAACGAATTTCTTATGCTACGACTAAAGCTGTCGGGTAAATTCATTAATTTTATTAAAAAAACAATAAGGGTATAATTTGTGATATTTTAATACATAATTAATCATGATCGAAATAAAATAATAAAACTTAACAATAAGTAACGGTTGCCTCAGAAGAGTAGGGCAGTATGGCAGGTCAGCATGGCAGGACAGCATGGCAGGTCAGCATGGCAGGTCAGCATGGCAGGACAGCATGGTAGGTCAGCATGGCAGGTCAGCCTGGCAGGTCAGCATGGCAGGTCAGCCTGGCAGGTCAGCATGGCAGGTCAGCATGGCAGGTCAGCATGGCAGGTCAGTATGGCAGGTCAGCATGACAGGTCAGCATGGCAGGTCAGCATGGCAGGTCAGCATGGCAGGTCAGCATGGCAGGTCAGCATGGCAGGTCAGCATGGCAGGTCAGCATGGCAGGTCAGCATGGCAGGTCAGCATGGCAGGTCAGCATGGCAGGTCAGCATGGCAGGTCAGCATGGCAGGTCAGCATGGCAGGTCAGCATGGCAGGTCAGCATGGCAGGTCAGCATGGCAGGTCAGCATGGCAGGTCAGCATGGCAGGTCAGCATGGCAGGTCAGCATGGCAGGTCAGCATGGCAGGTCAGCATGGCAGGTCAGCATGGCAGGTCAGCATGGCAGGTCAGCATGGCAGGTCAGCATGGCAGGTCAGCATGGCAGGTCAGCATGGCAGGTCAGCATGGCAGGTCAGCATGGCAGGTCAGCATGGCAGGTCAGCATGGCAGGTCAGCATGGCAGGTCAGCATGGCAGGTCAGCATGGCAGGTCAGCATGGCAGGTCAGCATGGCAGGTCAGCATGGCAGGTCAGCATGGCAGGTCAGCATGGCAGGTCAGCATGGCAGGTCAGCATGGCAGGTCAGCATGGCAGGTCAGCATGGCAGGTCAGCATGGCAGGTCAGCATGGCAGGTCAGCATGGCAGGTCAGCATGGCAGGTCAGCATGGC